AAACAAAAAAAAAAAAAAAAAAAAAAAAAAAAAAAAAAGAAACGTAAGATGGTGCCTTCCCTCCAGCTGTTTATTTTCCTTTATTCTGACTTTATTTGCCTTTTTTTTTTCCTACTCAGCCCTTTCTCAGAAGCTCTGGTTCTGAAGCCATAAAAGCAGCCAGCTCATAGCGGACCCTTTCTTACTAAAGCCAGGTCTTAAGAAAGGATGCAAAGGATGAGCTTAGCAGCCACCAAGGCCCAGCCCTGCACTCTGACCCCCACTCCGCTGGCCCAGAGCCCTCTCTGGGAGATTCGGAGCAGACTCATCTAGAAGGTGAAGGCCTGTGGTCGGGACGGCATTTGTCAGGCTCTTCCACAATTCCCCATGACTTGGTTAATAACTATGAAAAGCACCCATCAGCAGCAGGTTGCAGAACTGGGGACTGATCTTCTAAATAGAGAAAGCAGGTGCTGCTTGATGGAGGGTAGATCGAGAGGTAGGGATCATCTGCCTTCAGACAGCTCACACATGAAACTGACATGCCATTTTCTTGGCCCCAAAATATATTTCAAAATAACAGAGCAGGCTTGTAACACAGTAATCTTGCCCGGTGTCTGGAAACAAAGGAATAAATTGTCCACCATTCAGCACAGCATTATTGTCGATGTAGCTATTTATCAGGACAAATTCACTCAGGTCAAGGAGTGTCACACTATTTTCTGTTTCCAACAGTAGGACAGGTGTCTTATTCATGTTTAGAGAAGTTGGCTAAAAGCGTAGGCTTCTGGATTGCTCTTCTCAGAGCCTTAGGGTGGTAAGGGACCCAGGGAGCTTGTGTGGCCCAGACTTCCAGTGGGAAAATTCATCCAAACATCTCTGTCTCAGAAAACTTCAGCAGCATTTCAGCATCACCACTGCCAGGAATTTCTTTGTCTATTTGGAATTCATGCGCTGCCAGCTAACTGGGATATCTTTATTTGTGACTAGTAGAAAAGAAAGAGCGTGGTGCCCCCAATCTGAGGCAACAATCCAAGTATTCAGCTAGCATAATTGAGTCTCCTGAAGCCTTTGTCCCCCACCAGATTTCTTTTATGAGCTCAGAGAGCCTTCCGTGTCTTCACATCACCCTCACCTTCTGACTTAAGCCCAATTTTCCTACTCATCATACTGCCTTTAGCACTCGGACCATCATCCTCTGAGCACCTCACCTCCCCCTATCCCCACAAATATTTACTGTTTACCTACATGTTCTGAGATGTCTTCTGCATTACACTAGGCCAGTAAAATGCCTTTTAAAAAACACAGATGGTGCAAGGTCAAACAAGTTTTGTAAACTGTATAGTATTCCAGTCTTCACGCACTTGGGGAATCCCAATTGACGTTAGTGGGTCCAGGCTTCCTACAAGTTCCACAAGAAGGAAATCTGTTTGAAGCTATTTAACCTGTTTCCCAGTTGTATTTGATCACAAACATTTTGGGGTGACTGTTTTCATCACCTCTTAGCACCCACATAATTACTGTCCCGTGAAATAGGTTTCGGGTAACACCGGCTGCTCTCCCTTTGAGACTAGGTAACCCAGAACCCTGGCTCCTGCCTTGGAGTTCTTTCCCAAAGACTCGAATCCCTAGCTGGCTGACATTCTCCAGTCACCTGTCAAGTCTACCAAACCCTCCCCATCGTCATGAGAAGAGGTAACCGACACTTCCTTTAGGCAGTGTCCATGTGCACGCCCTCCTCAGCTCTTACAGGTAGTTAAAACCAGGTCCCTCTGCATCTTGTCGCAGGTTCACATTTTCCCATTCACAAAGCAGGAAGACTAAACTGTGGCCCACAGCATGCTTCTGGGTAAATTGAAGCGGGGAGAGGAAAAGCTACCGCATGACCCTGGCAGGATCCCTGAGCAAGGCCTTATTTACGTGCTTCTGAGAGGGGCAGAGGGAAGCTGGGAATTTTCATAGTGTAAACAGAACATGGACAGAACGTGAAATCATGAGAGCAGCTACCGTTTATCGAGGCGCTGGGCCAGATTCACCAAGCAGAATCTCATAGGAGCCTCCTGACTGACAGCCTCAGGAGAGCTACTAATATTTTCCCCATTTTACAGAGAGAGAAACTAAGGTGTAGAATGATAAAATGCTTTGCTCAGGGGAGTTATTGACAGGGCCTGGATTCAAAGCCCAGTTGTCAGATCCTGGGTTTTGCATTTTCACTAGCCTGTAGCTCAAGCACTGCGAGGACAGTGGGGACCCAAACATGATAAATGTTGGAAGAACAGAGAGCAAAGATTGTCCCCCATTAGGATCTTTCTCTAGGGAAACAAGATGGTGTCATTTAAAAATAATTCCATGCCCAGCCTTTTGTCCTATTATCATTTATTCTGCCTCATACGATAAACAAACAAAAGTTAAAAACAACAACAGGGCTTCCCTGGTGGCGCAGTCGTTGAGAGTCCGCCTGCCGATGCAGGGGACGCGGGTTCGTGCCCCTGTCCGGGAAGATCCCACGTGCCGCGGAGCGGCTGGGCCCGTGAGCCATGGCTGCTGAGCCTGCGCGTCCAGAGCCTGTGCCCCGCAACGGGAGAGGCCACAACGGTGAGAGGCCCGCGTACCGTAAAAACAAAACAAAACAAAACAAAAAACAACAGCAACAACAAAAAAAGAAGTTATCCCAAAAGTTCCTTACGGAAAAAAAAAATTAAAACAGCAACTCTAGGGAAGAGAATTAGCTGCTGATACCTTTAGAAAGGAATCAGAAAAAGGAAACCTCATCTATTCTTTTCCTAAAAGCACCATAATTATTCCAGAAATCACAAGCGCTCATCTCCTCCCCCACCACACTTTCCCCGCCATTACTTGCTCTGCAAAACTGATAATTTCTGATGCCAAGATGGGAATGGAAATTAATTTGTCATTTAATTTTTAATAAGTTAAAGACATCTCGGTGACACAACCAGTCAGTCTGCACGTGCGTGCCAGAGGAGTCCTTGAGGAATCCTCAGATGGAAATGAAATACAACATCAAATGCTGCGTCTGCCTGAGCTGAAGCACATAAAAGATTGAGCTGTTTAGGAGGGGAAAGGGAGAACGTGGGCATCCCATAGCACCTCGGAATGCAGAGAAAATCTTTGTCAGCTAGCAGCCGGAGACAGCCAGGGGTTCATCCTTTGTATTGAACAGGACTTGGTGGGTTTGGGCCTGGATTAAGGGCCAGACACCAGGCACTACCCAGACCCGTCCCCCCGCCCCGGGCAGGCTGTGGGTGGTGCCGGAGGGTGGATTCCTTGCTATTTTGCCTTTGCTATGCTCCCAATCTGTTGCTCTTCACTCTCAATAAATTGCTTTCTTTCCCTTGTGGCTAAACTTCCCATCCCAGCATGGCTACTCATGGCTCCTCGTCCTTGAAGTACGTCCATCTCTCAAAGGACTTAGCTACCAAAAAAAACGCTTCAGAGTGTTTTTCGTCACGATCTAAAACTATACCAAAGAATTGACCAGCACTGTCCACCAGCTCCACCAGCCTGCCGTGGAGCACGACTGCTTGACGTCACTGCTCTCCAGGCCTGGGAACCTTGAACAAGCACCTCGGAGCAGTCCATTGAGTCCCACCGACCCCCACCCTGAGCTCCATCAACAGCTTCTCCCATGCTTTTCTTTCCTTTTCAGTGACTTCAGTGTTTCTAAACCAGTAGCCTGCTCTTTCTCTGACTCTGCTGCCCGCATGTGGTCTTTTGATCTAATTCTTACTTTATGCTTTTCCTAGTGAACGATACTAATGTTCAGTTTTTGGACCAAGATGATGACGATGACCCCGACACGGAGCTGTACCTCACGCAGCCGTTTGCATGTGGGACAGCGTTTGCCGTCAGCGTCCTGGATTCACTCATGAGCGCGGTGAGTAGGTGGGGGACACGGGGACCCAGGGACAGAGCGCCTCCAGTCTCCAGTGCATGAGGGGCATGGGCTGGAGCTTGAACTGCCCTGGAGAGCCGAACCACACCGAGCTTGCCGTCTGGAAGGGGATACTGATGTTATTTAAATTAGCACACAGATAACTGTCTGATTATAAATTCTTGAAAGTGCAAGGAAGGCTATGAGTAAATATAGGTAAGCACTTGATGTGGTCTCGGGATCAGAGAAGGATTTCTCCAAAGAAAGAATATATATTTTATATTGCTCAAGATCTGAGCAATAAAGATGGGAGATTTTATGGGGAAGAGAATCCCCCAAAGAAGGACAGCAAAGGTAAAGGCCTGGTGGGGAGAAGGGTACCTGACAGGCTCAAAGAAGGCAAAGAAAACCTGCGTCGCTGGACCTCAGTGAGAGAGGGGAAGGGGAGGACAGGGCAGAGTTGGACCCACAGTACCTCGAAACCCATTTTCGTGTGTTTGGTCTTTGTCTTAAGAGCAGTGAGGAGGCGTTGAAGGGTTTTAAGCTGGCAAGTGATGTGAGCAGGTTTATGTTTTGAGGGGATTGCCTGGGCAGCTATGTGGAGGATGGCTCAGGAGGCAAGATGGCAGCGGGAAGTCTGAGTAAGGGGCTCCCGTAGCGTGCAGTAGGGTAGAGCCCTCGGGGCTGGAGGAAGGTGGATGGGTTTGAGTGGTGTTTGTCAGTAAAATCGAGAGGACTTGGGAATAGATTGAATATGAGCAAAGGCGGAAGAGGACACAGTGTCAAAGGTGTCTCCTAGGTCACTGCCAGTCACTGAGACTCAGTCCTGGGAGAGGCGTGGGTGCGAGGCAAGGCCTGGCCTGTTCTCTGCCCCAGTGAAGGTGTAGAACGGTGGCAGAGAGAGGAGGGTGGGCTGGCCCAGGGATCCAAAGCATCTTCAGTTTCTTTTATAACTTGATATGCGTCGAACAATCAAGGCATTTGTGTTTTCACTTGTGAGACCAAAATCAAATGACAATTAAAAAGTAGGTCCCGTCTTAAAGAAGCCATCTTGAGCTACAAAAGGCAAAGCAGACCAGAATGGAGATTATGAAGTGGTCCCACTGAGTGGCTTTATTTATTGTATAGAAAAGTCTTTTTATTGGGGAATTCTCAACTTCACTCTTTTTATAAATACAGACATAGACTGGATAAAAACTGACCTTTGGCGAAACCACAAAAAAAGAGTTTTACTGAATCCATTAAAACCATAAACATAGCCCAGAGAGTTTTTATACACATATATTTCTTCAAATGCTTAAGAAGGCTATTCTCAAAAAAAAAAGAAAAAAAAGAAAAAGAAAAAGAAGGCTGTTCTCCTGCATGTGTTAAACAACTGATATGCTAATTGTGCATTATTCTCATCTATTCATTAAAGCTAATCCCAGAAGGACCTCTATTTGAGGAAAGAAAAAGCATAAAGCTTTTTAAGACTAATTTAGGTTATTCTATATTCCTGAATGTGGTCCAACTACAAGCATATCTTAGTGAAAAGTCAGAATTATAGATTTAAAAATAAATACGAAACAACATTCATCTGAATTAAGGTTGACTGGGCTTCATGCCATCCCACTGCTTGCCAAGCCAAGAAGGAGAGAAAGCAGTCCTTACTGAAGGCCGTCTTGATTCCCCAGGGCTCACGACCTTTCTGATGGTCTGAGGATACTGAGCCTCACCTTTCTACCTGCCAGTGATGTTGGGCTTAGTTTGGGCAAACTCCCTAAGCAGGCCAGAGGGCATGATGGAAGCAACAGGATGTGCTTATTACAGTGCTGTACTCTCTGTGATAGTCCTCGCAGTCTCCAAGTCCACTTTCAAACAGATTTCTGTAATTCATCTCCTCAGAAGTTTCATTTTATTTCTGATCCTAATCAGACAGATTTCAGAAGACTGTTCTCACTAAAAGATGATGAAACAGTCTATAGTCGATTTTTTTTCAGAACTGTAAAATACTCGATCCAAATTTTTAAAAATCCAAACTTACAAAATTGTTTCCACAGATCAGACACGCTGTATATTCCAGGTGGGACCAGCGACATAATTTGAAAGCCTACTTTTTCATAAGTCACTAAGAATTTCAAAAGGGTGACAGCAGAGCATTGAACCAAATGAGGGCCTCTTCTGAGCATGGGCCCTGGGTGACAACGCAGGCCACACACCCATGAAGCCAGCCCTGCTTCCAACGAATAAAACTGTTTTTGAGCACCAAAGCACTTCACCTCTACACAGTCAAGGGGGCACACTGCGGCCATGGGGTGGGAGTGAGTGGCACATCTAGATTTGAGTTGCACCATTCTCTCTCCAGCATCACTGTAGAGAGAAACTCAGCTGAGAAATCAAAGTAGATTGGTTTGACATTTAAAAAAAAAAAAAAAAAAAATCTGTCTCTAATCTCCTTTGAAATGCAAACTAAAATGTTTGGGAGAAGGTGGCTAAGGCGTGTATGAATACAGTAGTCTGCTAGCAAAGCAGCACTTCTCAGTTCCAGCCTGGGAAAAAGCGGTGTCAGGAATCTAGTAACCGTCATTGTCATGATCGGCAGCAGCGTAATTTATTGAGGGTCCAGCACTGTACAAAGCGCTTCATTATTATTATTGCAGACAGTATTATTTTGGACAATAATGTGAATACACCTGCTTTAAGTGTTGAAGCAAGAACCTATTTAACTGATCCACTGTTGTGACTTCTCAAATCATTACTCAAAATGCCTATCCACTTATTCCAGGCCTTGTTTTCATTGTCTAGGATAAGCAAGTCCCACAGTGAGGTCTCAAATTGGATCTGGTTCAACAGACCCAATTGGATCTAGGCCTTCTGATTACTTGTTGATTTCTTGGCATGCCACCCCAACCCTAATTTATGGAAAAAAAAAATAGGAGATTATCTCGTACCAAGGCAGTAAGTAGAAGGAACTAAAAGGGTTGGCAGGAATATAAATTGAGAAAGTGAGACTCCAAACAGCGGGAGCTGGAGGTAAGCTTCCATCTCAGGCATTCGCTTACAAGCAACATCACTACATCCACACGCACATCTCTTTAGATGTCTATGATCTCCTTTTTCTGGCGCTCCTCCCCAAATTGCCATTTAATCATGTGTCTAAACACTCTCTGAATATTGTCCTTCATAATTCAACTCCTGCTGCTTACTGCTTCATTTGTGAAGGAGAATAATGTTTTGATTCATCACATGCATTCCTAGAACAGCTAGGGATGTTACAGACATGGCCTCCTGGCTTTTTCCTGCAAATCAACAGCAGAAACACATGATGAGAGGGAATAATTATGCTTATGGGTATATGCCTCTAAGAAGAACACAAGAAAAGTATTTTTCAGAATGATCCAGCTTGATGCTCATACACACATGAAAAAGATGAAAGGAAGCCTCTTGGTAAAACTGGCTCATGAGTATTTAGATTTCTTTTCCACACAGCACCCACTTTCCCCTACCCTCACCCCAGTTTGAGTTCTACCTGGACCCTCCCTAGAAAGAAAAAATTAGTCAGGGACTCGAGAGCCAGACTGCTTGCATGTGGATCCCAGCACTGCCACTTACTGGTTGTATAACCTTAACCTCTTTGTGCCTTAGTTTTCTCACCTTTAAAATGGGAATAATAGGAGCACCTACCGCATAGGACTGTTGAGATGAATTGAATGAGTAATGAGTGCAGCGCTTAGCACATGGCAAGCTCTAGATGCATTTACTGTTATTAATCAATACATTATGGGGCACTTACTAAATGCCAGGCGCTATTATTCATGCTGGGCATCCAGCAGTGAAGAAGAAAGATAAAGACCCTGCCCTCGTGTGGTTTGAACTGTCATTCTAGTGGGCAGTCACTAGGTAAGTGACAGTAACTATGTCAGTGGGTACCTGAGTAATATCAGAGAAGGATAACTAATGTGAAGAGCATAACATAGTGTGAATGGGTGTGTGGAGACCTACTTTAGCCACAGTGGTCAGAGTAAAGCTGTCTTAGAAGGAAACTTGGAAGCTGACACTGAAAATCAGAAGAGAGCAGCTGGGGGTGAGGGTAACTAGCTTTCCAAGGCAGAGAGCTGGCCTCTCTTCCAGAAATAACCGAACTTTTGTTGGTAAGACTGGAGAATAGGACCATCTGGAAGATGAACCACCTGATTTACTCTCTTAGCTGTACTTGCATGAAGGGCTGAACCCTTGAGGTGCCTTACCTGGAGGGCTGAGTTCTCAGGCAGCCCAGTGCCATGTGACGTCAGTTACATAAACAAATTCTTCTTCTGTGGCTCTACTCCTTACACTCCACTCGAGAGCCACCATTTAGGCAGTCTAGCCCACAAGGAGACAGACAGTCCCCGGCCCACCATGCAACAGATGAGCTAGCACCGCTGTCAGCATGGCAGATGGACTCAGAATATGCCACTGCTGTCACATCAGGCCAGGCAGGCCCCCGATGGAAAAGAAAGTCAAATAGTTCTCATCCCTCGTGAAAGAAAAATACTAAAAATAAAAATCTACACCATGAAAACTAGCAAATATAAAAAATGGCAGCTATGACATGGAAAATGACAATTTTAGAGCAATTATAAACGAAAGGCAAAGTGCCATCAAAGTTAAGGCAATGTTATTAAAAGATGTGTTAATTTTCGGTTAAAATTTCTATAAAAGACCAATTAGTTTAAAAGGCTTGACAGCATTAACTGTGAAACATAAGCTCTGGTAATTATACTTCCAAAAAATAAAAAGAGGAAGATGCTCCAGCGTGTTGGAGACCCAGGTGCAGAGGGGCCTCCGTGGAGCAGGCTAGATGGCGCTGCGGGCTCACATTTCCCTGGTGTAATCTGCTGGTCCTTTCCCCAGCATTTCTGGGTTTCCTCAATGTCTGATATTCTGTCTACTTACAGAATCTGAGAATCCCCGAAGTGTAGAGGCTAAGGGGTCACACATGTGATCTGGACCAGCTCTCTGATATTAGAGCTGAGAACGCAGAG